ATTTCTCTGAAGATTGAATCCAGGTCCTTCACACTGAGCTCCAACCCAGGCTCTACTGTATTAATTGTTTGCAGACAGGGTCTCACTACGTCCTTAAATTGCCCAGGCTGGGCTTAAATTTGCGATACTCCTGCCTCAGCCCACCCAGAGTGCTGCGATTTCAGGTCTACACCACCACGTCCTGCTTCATCTTTTTTAAAAAGTAAGTACAGGCCTGTGTGTTTCAGTAAGTGACAGCAGCAGGACCTGCTTGAGGGAGAAGGCCTGAGCGACCTGACCCCCAGGTGCCCCTGCAGGGGGCGAGAGGAACCCGTACCTGAAGAAAGCCATCTCCACACATCTCCAGGCTGTTCAGCAGCGCTGTGTTTTTCCTTCCCTCCTCAGAAGTACTTTAAATATACAAAGCACTGAAGGAGGGAAAGAAAGGGCTCTGCAGAACGAACCGAGACCAAATAAGAGGGAGGAGAGGTGCGTGGAGCACACTGCTGCGAGGAAACAAGCAGCCTCTTAGAACCGAAACGGAATTGTTTCAGTACTGAGGACTGAACCCAGGGCCTTCGAGCTGAGCTACATCCCCAGCCCTTTCGTTTCTTGCTTTATTTTACTTCATTTTGAGACTTCCTAAGTCACTAGGCTGTCCAGGCTGGACTTGAATTTATGATCCTCCTGCTTCAGCCTTGCAGAATGCTGGGATTGCAGGCGTGCACCACTGTTCCTGGCTAAAATGGAATCTTTTACAAGTGCGAAGGGACTGGGATATAGCACAGTGGGCTGGGAAATGTGCAAGGCCCTGGGTTCCATCCCCAGGCAGGGCCGGTTTGGGGGGAGGGGTGGGGGAGAGAAGAGGAGGGAGGGGGAGGAGCATCCCTGCTTAGCTCCTGGGCTGTACAAACAAAACCAAACAAGCAGCTTAGTGAATGTGGCTCACAGGCCCCAGTTGGTTTGCCCCCCACTGTTATAAAAGAAAGGCATTCTCACAATTACTTCCTTAAAAGGCACAGATACAATAAGGCTCAACAAGGACAAAACAAAGCAGAGATAATGCCACACTTAGGGAGGACTCTCCCCATGCAGTCCTGTACACTCTAGGCAGCTGCTACAGTGAGCATGGGAAGAGATTAAGTCCTGTTTTTGAAGATCTGACATGAATTTTAGAAATGCTTAGACTCCACCCAACTAGTAATGATTTTTGTTTTGGGGTTTTTTGTTTTGTTTTGTTTTGTTTTTTGTACCTGGGATCGAACTTGAGACCTTGTGCTTTTGAGGCAGGCTGGCCAAACCACTGAGCCAAATCCCCAGTCCCCCAGCTAGTAATTAATAAGAAATGAGGTTTGATGGAAAGGCTCTTCGTTATTTTCTAGCTTAAGAATCACGGTGACTTAAACACCAAACACAAATACAAATGATGCGATTCGTGTTTTCCTGGAGCTGAACCTGACCCTCTTACTTTCTGTCTTTATTGAACTCGAACCAAAATTTGAACAAGTGACTTTGAGATGTATTCTCAAAAAGAGGGAATCCAGCCCGTTTAAGTGTTTCCTTTTTTAAGGGGCTTTATTCTTTGGTCTTTTCTTCTTTTTGGGCATCAGGAATCGAACTCAAGGCCCTGCGCTTGCTAGGCAGGCGCTTCATGGCTGTACCACGCCCCCAGCCGTCCAGCTGGTTTAAAATGTTGCTGGTGAGAGCCGGGGATTTAGCTCAGTGGTGCCCCCGCCTGCCTCGCAAGCGCAAGAGCCTGAGTTTGATCCCTGGTATGGGGAAAAAAAAAGTTGCTGATGAGAATGGAGCGATATAAACACGGGTGCGCGGACAGAAAGACACAAAGGAGCTGCCGGGCTCCACCCAGCCGGTCACCCTCCACCCACACCGCACAGTCTGGCACACACACAGGTGCATCTCACACGTGTTCCCCTCACACCTATCCCTGTGTTCACAGTGACCCTTAAACTCACACCTACTTCCACAAATGTATGTGGCATGTGTGCTTAGCTGTGTACACACACACTCACGTGGCTCTTTCCCACTTTTATCAGTGAATTTCGTTCCACAAGCACAAGAATTCCCACTGTCTCACAAGCACACACACATCTTTTTTAAGGTGGGTACTGGGGTTCGAACTTGGGTCCTTGCACTTGTGGAAACAGGCAGCGGAACCATTGAGCCAAACCCCCAGCCCCACACAAACATCTTAATATACATGTGTTCCTCTTCACTGTTTATTTCTCACAGACACAATTGTTCTTGTACCTTTCTTTCTCCATACCCGTTTGCACACGACTCCAGACAAATGCCATTCTCTTCCCTGGGGCATTTGTGTGTTTGTGGATCTCATCACACACACGTACACCTGCAAACGCCTTCCTTTTCTGCCTTTGCACAAATAGCTTTTTCTCCAAGTCACATTTACCCCAAGTGCTTGCACGGTGCAAATGGGGGATTCTAGAGCCTTCATCCCGCCCACGCTGAGGCCCTGCGGAGTTGAGGAGGCGGTTAGAAGCGCCGTCTGTGTACCTCGAGCAGTTTAGAATCATGTTTTACTTTCCTGCCACTGTTTCCATGTTAAACAGGCTTCTCAGTGGTCCTTAAAATTAATTCTCTCACAATAAATATCTCAAAGCCAAGTGGGGTGGTGCAGGCCTGTGACTCCAGTACTCTAGGATGCTGAAGCAGGAGAACTGAAACTGTGAACCCAGCCGTAGCAACTTAATGACTTAGTGAGACCCTGTTTCAAAAAAATTTTTTTTAAAGAAAAGGAGTCGGGGGCTGGGGTTCTACCATACCAGTGGTTCTGCCACCTGCCTCGCAAGCACAAGGACCAGTGTTCAATCCCTGGTACCGAGAGAGAGAAAGAAAGGGCGGGTGGGGATGCAGCTGTGTGAAGCCCCGGGGTCCAATCCTCAGAACTGGGGAAAAAGAAAAGACTGGGATGTCTCTATAAACTGTAATTTGGGCTGTGTGGCTACCGAGAACTCCCTGAGGAAAGGTTTCTCTAGGCACAGAGAAAGCTTGACCCCACGTCTCTTGCATGTTCCAACATAGGCAAGGGCAGGGGCGCTGGCTCTCCCAGTAGGGTCGCCATTCTGGGTGCTTCATCCCAGAATCCAGGCGCATCGTGCCGCTGTCTGGAGGTGGTGGCCTCTGCTCGCCGGGTCCCTGCACCCTGTTGGTCCCTGGGGGCGGCCGGGCCCTCTTCCCACCAGGACAGCAGGCACCACTGCGGCGCGATGAGCCTGCATGTCTCCCTCTCCCGTGCGGACCACTCTAAGGGCCCCTAACCGCAGGGGTCAGCTGACTGTGCGGCGCTGCTCCGCCCGAAGTACGAACCCGTATCGGGATCGGCCGGAAGTGGCAGCTCCCGGTTTGAAACCGTGGCCTGAAACCCACCCACCCGACCCTTGGTACCCGGTTGCCCCAGAGCAGGTTCCTGCGGGGACTCCGAGGGAAGCGGCGCCCTCTGCTGGCCAGTTGGGGAACGCGACGCCCCGAATCCCGGTGCTCAGCAGCAGGGAAAACAGCTGCTACAAAACTAAGTCTTCGAGAAAGATGCTGCTAAATGGCGAGCACAGGGGAAGGCACAAGGGGACGAACTGCTTCTGGTACAGTTCATAGAGGCAGTGCTGGTAAGTGAACATTTATTTTTGTTTGGCTTGGTTTTCTGAGACAGTCTCGCTAGGCCGTTCAGGCTGTCCTTAAATTCACTATGATTTAGCTGGCCTCGAACCCACAAGGATCTTCCTGTCTCAGCCTCCCACGTGCCTGCACTACACCACGCCTGGTGCGCGCGCGCGCACACGCGCGCGCGTGTGTATAACAGGGTGCTGCTGTGTAGCCTACCCACAGTGATCCTCCTTCCTCAGTCCCCTGAGTGCTTTACAGGTATTAGTTGAATGAGTGTTAGTGAGACCAGTGCAACAAATGACTTATGATAAATAAGGTGATCGGGGGCTCCTGCAAGCCTAGACACAGCCCCAATCCACTAGCAGCAAGCCGCGTTATGGAGGAGACGGTGGCAAGAAGTAACCGCTGTACAGGGATGAAGTCCTAACAAGGACCAGGATCAAAAATTCACTGACAAAGGCCAGGTATTTAGCTCAGTGGTTCCGCCACCAGCTTTGCAAGAACAAGGACCCGAGTTCGATTCCTAGGACAAAAACAAAAGATGACAGATCTCAGGCTTCAGGGGGTGATCAGCTCAGAAAGCCTTCTCTGGCATATTCTGGCGTGGCGGCGCACCCTTGTAATCTCAGCACTCTGGGAGGCTGAGGCAGGAGGACTGCAAGTTTGAGGCCAACCTATGAAACTTAGTCACTTATGGAGACCCTGTCTCAAAATTTAAAAAATACAAAATGCTGGGAGACTGAGGCAAAATGATTGCAAATTAGAGCCCAGGCTTGGCAGAGTAGTGACTTAAGGAGATCAAAATAAAAAAATAAAAGAAAAAGGGCTGGGGATATACCTCAGCGCAAGAGCACAGAATTCAATCCCCAGTTCAAATGCAATTCTTTCATGAAAACCACTGCATTTCTATTCTTTTCTTGCTTTAATTAAAAAAAATAAAAATGTTTATGAGCCCATGCTTGCAGTCCATTCTGATCACACTCCTCCGTGAGGAGTTGGTGCAGGTAAATAACACCCTTCTCCCTCCCGAACCGGTGCACTTCTTTCTAGCTCTGTTCCCTTCCCCGAATATCCGTTCCACGTCTTCCTTTTCCCTCGCCATCCCCTCCGTGGACACCACCCTCCGGGTCTTGCGGGCGCCGGCAGCCTGGCGAAGACCCCGGCGCGGGAGCGGCGTGCATGCGCAGCGTGCGT